TAAAGTAATCAGGTTGTTATAGCGGAATAAAAAACCCCAACAAGACCCCAAAGCGATGGGGAACTGTTATGGTCTTGTCTCACCCTAAAGGTGAGAACATGTGATGAAGTTACAGTTCCCTGATTTCCTCAAACAGAGTCGAGTTTTCAATTTAGTAAAATCACTGAACATCCATATGGTTCAATGATAAATTCAGGAAGCGACAACCTCCAATGAGGAGGTGCAACAAAAACTGCAGCTCCTGGAGTATCCACTTGAGGTTGCCTGCAAAAGCCACGGACTCCCACCTATAGGTCCCACATTAACTTGTTTATTTGAAAATGTTATGTAAAATACACTTTACCATGTTTTTCTAACATGAATATGTGTCCCTAGTCTGTCTACAAACCCCCCAATGATGAGAAAAGTCCATCCTCTTCGTCTTTAGCCTGCTCCACTTTTCAGAAAATGTGTGCTCAAACAGGCTGTTTGGAGATTTTCCCTTCATGACATCACAAAGGGCAGTAACCCCTCCCCCAGGTGGGTGACACTCTCACAGCTAGGTGTTTGTTCTGCCCTCTGAGTCTGCCTTCTCACCGTAAACAATCGGGCATGGAGCGAGAAAGCCAAAGCTACCCCAGACCTTACAGAGAGAGGCATAGTCAGAAACAGCTGATTCTCATTTAAAGATATGGCTACAAAACAAAGCTCCTAGAGTCGTCCATGTTGCTTGACCAACCTGTTGCCAACTCGTTACTGGAACGCGGTAAACTCAAAAACAAAAACAAAAACAATACAAAATATTTGGCCCATATTCTATCACTCTTGGAAATGACGATTACAAATACGATTATAAAATATCCAACCAACTAAACAAACACTAGACGTAAAACTTCTTAAGAATGAAAAGAGGAGCTGAAGTGTTAATGTGACATACAGCTGTCAACCAAGGCGCAGTACATCCACTTGATTCTTTCACAGTAAAGCTATATGCCACTTAGAGGTGCATTTGTTTCACTGTACAATATGGCTGTATTCAAATGGGGGTTGAATAAAATCTGTAACACGGAGAAACTCCTGGTTTCAGTTTCAAGCTGTACCCTTCACCACAGTCTTGTTTAAATTGGTCCAGTCATTTCCAGCATGGCTTCTGTGATTGACAGAAAGAAGGACTGACTCACCCACTGCTGTATTATACTTGTTCATTATGTGAGCTAAAGCAGTGTTGACTCTGAATCTGTGTCTTAGAGAGAATAGAGACAGGAGACAGAGAGGCACAGGGAGGGAGATCTCAGTCAACATAAAAAAACCGACACTATAAAAAAAAAGCTGACTGCACAGCCGCGTGTGTCTACATTGGACAGCTGAGCGTGTTTGACAGGATGGACAGCTGTGAGAGCATGGCAGAGATTTTCTCTCTCTCACAAGCCGAGTACATTTGAGTTGTTTGCACTCAACTTTTGTATTTCCACTGAAATTGTGACTCAAAAGCAATAAAGTAAGAGAGCTTCATTGTGACAGTCACAGTTCTTACCAACCACTGTGTCATCCAGCACAGAGGTGCAGCTTGTCAACAGCACCTGCTTGGGGCCCCAGACCAGTAGGGGGCCCTCCAACCAGTGTTCATCACCATTATGCCAACGCTTACTCCTATAAAGACAATTAATTCCTCTCCCTTTTCCTTCTGTGACATTAATTTAAAAACTTAACAGGGCAACAAGAGTGAGTGCTGTCAGATGGGGCCCCCTTAGGGAGGTTTCCTACTTTCATTGCAGAATTTGCACATTTTGGGCCACTGCTTTGGGTTAAGTTTGTGAGCCCTCATTAGCCCCCCTACTGGTCTGGGGGCCTCAAGCAGTTACCAATTGATTTTTGCCTATAGGGCCCAAAACTAGACTCTAGAATCACCACTGATCCTTCAGAACCATCCCATCCGAGTGAAATCCAGCGTTTCTATATCGAGTTTGCATCGTTTGTATCTCATTTTGCCTTATCTACAGTATGTTGCCTTGAAGAAAGCACAGCTTTGCTCGTGAGAAAATATTTGTCTAGACAGAAGTATGTGGACTATTTCAGATGGATTGCCTTTACATTTTACCTTGACAGTGCTTGTCGTTATCACTAAAATTTCCATTAGTCTTTCATATGTGCAGCAATGGTTCATATCCTTTTTTTATAGTCTAGGTAATGATATAGAAGTGTTGTTCTGATCACAAAATCCTATTACTCATTTCTGTGTGGATGGACAATAAACCCTCTCCTTTTAGTTACTCCATTATTTGTTTGATTTCCGTCATGAAAAGATCTCTATATTAACAGACAGCTGCTCCACTCATTCATTCCCCCTCATTTATTGTCGTCAGTTTGGACTTTGAAAGACCATCAAATCCATCAGCCTGCTGCTGGTAAACAAATGAATCACCTAAACCAAATGCTCAGGGTCTATTCCAGCTAAAACAGAGACGAGTGGCTGTTTTCAGAGAGCACAATGTCCAGGTTAGAAATGCATTCAGAGGCAGCACAGTAGGCTTCTGGCACAGCATATGGTGGCCTGTATCTGACACAGATACCACTAATCACTTTTGCACAGTAAGTGCAGTGGGCTTGCCAAGAAGAGCTCTGATCCAACAGAAATCTTTAATAAAACATAGAATGATAATAATGCTTTTTAGGACACTTTAACCCGTATTTAACATTGACTAATATGGATCAACAAACTATGATCAACTTGTCCGAGAGGATCTTTAAATCTGTACTATCAATATTATATATATATATATTCACAGTGGATCAAACAACGATATGTAATGTGAAGCTGGTTGCTCGTACTGCTGATGCCACAGTGAACTATCACTCCTCCCAACTTTCAAAGTATTTGAGAATTTCTTTAGCAAATCTTTTTTATTAACGATGTGCAAAATTCGCTCTTATCCAAAGCGGTATCAAATACCGCTTTGGATAAGACAAACACATAGACAACACATTTCAGCAACAACAAATTTAAAAAGTAGTTTAGAACGACAAAGTTAGCAACTTGCTGGGTAAACAACGAGCAGCTAAAGAGAGACAGGTTTTCAATAACAGTTGGTCATGTCAACACAATAGAAACTATTCAATCATGAGGTAGCCACTTTATGAAGCAAACCCTGTTTCTTTTCATCTATAATGAGCATCAGGCTGTATTGAAGAATACTTTTAGAAAGCAACTGAGACCATAAACACATTTTGAGAAAGTCAACTGAGCTTGACTTCTTCTATTTAGTCTGTGGGTCAGACTTGATTTTGTTGCACCTTTTTAGCCTCCTCTGGTATATTTAGCTCTGTGTTAATGAGCCAAGTCCCCCCCATGATGACACAGAGGACCTACAAACACACTGACCATGTTTCATGGTGTGTGGTGGACATTGTTGTTCTATTTTAGTCCTCTTCTGTAGCTGTAACTATTGAGTGTAAAGCTCTGTACCCTAGCTCCCTCCGGTGGTTGCTCAGTGTTGTAACTTTCCTGACAGAACACAACTTTAGACCTACTTGTCACGCTCAGATGAGCAGAGAGAGAGTGTGCAGGCAGAATATGTGTGATCACACATGGTTTGCACAGGAAGCAGCTGCACAGTCAGCATGCTTGACCACACAGCATGTCCATATACATCTGTGGGCTTTGCAGTAAACAGGACCACTATATCAGAACAGAGTGGGGGGAGGGCGACACATTGTTTTAAATGAGTTGAGATTTAATGAAAAGTTATTTCAACAACAGCACTTGGTTTCACAAGTTGCTCGAGGTGATAAATAAAGTCATGATGATACTTTTCTTTTACAGATATTGCACCACTCCTCAGTGTGTTTGTGGGCAGAGGACATGCTCCCTGCTGTTGAGTCACATCACCTCACAGGAGGTATGTAAAGGTCATTGAGGGTAAGATGAGGGCAGACATCATAGGTACCAGCGTTCTACACATGTATGTTTGATACATGCCTGTATCAAACATGACTGTAGTCTCAGTGACGTCAGCCATTGGTTGCTGAAACGATTTTGTGAGGCTAATAATGGCCAAACTTTTGAACAATTTGGCAACAGTTAAAGCGGTGATGCTGAGTTAGGCCTTAAGCCTGAAAAACAGCAACAACATACCTACCTGTCAGTCAGGTTAGCCACGCCCTGTTTAATGCAAATGTATGCATGAAAAAGTTATGGGGAAAAAAATCACCTAGCCTAACATTTTTACCAATAAACCATCGAGCTATTCAGATCAAAGCCATTTTTGAATCTGGCTGTAAACATGTTTATTTCGGCTCACAGCACTTTTTTGCACATCGACATCGGCTAATGTTTGCAACATCAGAGGTTAGGTTCTAAACTTTTTATTTTATCTCAGTAAAAGGAAACCCTGAGTTTTTATGCCATTTTCCTTTATTAGTAAAGCTGTAGAGTGAAATGTGTGGAGAGCGAAACGGGGGATGATAGGCATCAAACTGCGTCAGGACCAATGTGACAAGGACTGTGTCCTCTGCACGCAAGGGGATTGCCTACAGCAACTGAGCTAAACCACAACCCCTCTAATTATAGAAGGTGAGGCATCTCCCTCAGCACTACCTTTGCTTGCGGACTTAAATAAAGCAAAAAGGACAGCTTTTTATTTGTTAGCTGATTTAGGATTTAATATTGTTAATCCCTGATAAACATTTATTTTGCTCCAATATATGTTAGCTTGTTTTTTGTGTTCAAACTTTCAGGTGAAATCTTTCAACTTGATTTTGAGTCTTCTCAGGGTAGATAAACGTCTGTAATCTAATCAATGGGAAGACTAAACACTGAAAGAAGAGATCATGTTAAAACACGATAAGAAATCAGAGAGGGGAGGGAAGACAAGACAATCAGTTTTGTGAACATAAAGGGGGAGGAGTGAGGAGGAAGGCAGGGAGAGAAGAGGGGAGACAGCGGGGAGGGGAAGATGAAGTTGTGCATTCCTCAGTTTGAAGGGGGAGCATCTGGAAATCTTTAAAGGAGGGAGGGAGGAGGGAGAGAAAAAGGAAAGGAGGAGACTCACAGAGCATCTGCTGAATGTAGGCCATTGGGTCATATTTCTGTTGGATTTTAAAGCCTTTTTGGTGCTCAAAAGTGGGAAAATCTGATCTACTTATTGAAGAAAAGAGTACTGACTGTAAACAGAGTAAGCTACAGGACAAGAAGGTTTGATTGCATGTTGACAGAAGTTGTCAGACTGTGTGCAAGAGACAAGAAAAGACAGCCGAGAGGAGGGGAAGTCTGACCAAAGCTCGGCCTCTTCCTGCCTCACAATCGGCTCAGGAAGTGCAGGCAGAAACAAGAGAGAGGGGAGGGCTGACTCAGAGAAACATTTTTTTTTCCTTTTGCCTTTTAGTTTTCCCTTATTCAGTCCTACACAGATCAACAGGAGGAAGAGGAAAAAAAAACAAGGAGGAGTGTGGAGCAGAGAGGAGGCGGAGCTTTCAATGGAGCTGAGACAGAGTGACAGAGAGAAGTCGAACAGTCAGTCTGTGGAAATATGATGGAGGCCAGCGTTGTTTCTACAGACGCAGGGTGAGTTTATGATGGGTCTGTGATAATGTGAAAATACAGAGCGTGATAAGTACTAGTGAAGGAAAAGGGTAGGTGTTGTTGTGTAGTATCATGGAGGGGAGGAGGGGAAGAAGGGGGTCGAAAGTCAGGCAGCCAGAGCAGGAAAAGCAGATGTGATGACTCAGTGACTAATAAATAGGTCAATGGCTTCTTTGAGGTTTTGAAATGCCAGGTTCTGACTTTACGCTGTCCAGTCAAGTTACATTTCTTTCACATGAAACACACAAAGAGAGAGGTTTTAGTTGCAGAAAGAGTTTGTTGTCACAGTAAGAAGAGTTTGTATTTGAGGATGTGAGTTGTTGAGAGTGGCTACATGAGAAAGACAGATCAGACCGTTATAATTCATGTCAGAGTCTTTGACTTTTCAGTGTGCACACCTAAGAGTTTGAGTTCCTAAACTGGGAACAAAGTACGTGCAAGATGCCAAAGAAAAACCTAATTTCAGATCCTTTTTATTTGTTAACCTACGACAAAGTTGTGGGACGTTGTGTCACACCGTGTAGATGAAGGCAACACTTAAATCTAGAGTGCAATGTTTAGGAGTCAGTACTGCTTTAGTGTTTGAGGCCTTTCAGAATAAAAGCATCAGATTAAAAAGCTAATTATAGGTTGTGATGAATTGTATCTTGTGTGTTTGCTTTGTTTCACAGTTGTGTTTGTCTCTGAAGAATGTGTGTTTTTTCTAAAGGTTAGGTTAAGGTTAACCTCGCTTGAAAGGTTTCGAAAGCAAGTTAGGTCAACACAGTCAGGGGTTGGATCAGGTATTCAGGTTGTTTACTCATGTTAGAGCCCTGCCGTATAGAAATACTCCATTGCATTGGAATTGTGAATTCAGTGCTCCAGGATTATCACCTGAATTTAAAAATACAAAAGTAGAAACACTTATTTTGTCCCCCTGGTACTGAAATATAACCTGACAATTGTTTTCTAGTTATTATAATAAATGCATCTATGTTTAAAGAAGCTCATAAGGGGAGTAGAGCTACATTTAGATACTTTTTTAAACTTTATTATAGTCAAGACCGCCCATAAGAGGGCTTTCTGCTGCATTGTTGGGCCCATTAAGGTGAGGTAAAACATAATCCATCCCAAATTTAATCAACAAGTTCCATTTATTTTACCCAAAAAAAAAAAAAAATCACCATTACTTATTAACACAGCAAAATGACATATTTCACTTTGTGTTGCCTGTATCAAAATGTAATCCTGCTATTCGTAAAATGGGATGAGGCTTTTATTTTGTAATGTTTACATTCTGGACAGTCCATTGAATTTAACGATCAGGCCAGTGATGTTTGACTGTGTTTTGCCAGGCCAAGACCTGTATGAGAGTTAGGATGCCTGAAAAGTAAGACTTTTATGACATGTGACCCCAAACAAACAATCTGCTGACAAGCTTTTTATTTTCAGTCAGCTCTGAAGCTGATCTGAGCCAGGCTGAGGAGGCGAATGTTAGCCTGGAGGCCGGTGCTAACGCTGCTGAGCCAACACACATCTATGGAAGTTATTAAATGGCATCTGTGGAGGGCCCATTCACCAAACCTTTGAGAAGTCCAGTCACCTCTGTGGGCGGGCCTGATTATAGTTAACATATAAAATCAACACAACACAGTTCCTGATGGAAATACACTTACGACAGCAGATCACGTCTCAAGCCTCTATTAGTCATCATATCTGTCATCCAGTCTCTGTCTGAGGTTTGGACTGCGACCGTTTTCGTGTTATTGCTTTCTTGCGGGCTACTGATAATATCGCTCATAAGTTTTTATCCTGAACTAAAGAGTGAGAACAGAAAGTCCCGAAAACAGAAATGCTTTGTATCGCCGTGTTACCTCAGTATGGACACATTTCTGGTCAGTTCTTAAATATATGAAAATGGCCTTCCAGGTGTTAACCACATTACCTACAAACGCTCTTCAGACATCAGCATCTGTACACATTTAATTTTGCAGGTTATCAAATATCTGATCAGATTACGCCGACAGAATTTCCTCTGAAGCTCCAAGCTGGTTGCGGATGACTACAGAACACGTATTTAGTTGATCTTCCTAAGAGATATCGAGCCCAGATTATTTCTTTTAGTAGTTACTAGTTTATGCTTCTTTAAACAGCTCGCTTGTTTTGGTTGATTTAAAGGGTCACAGGATTATTCTGAGGGGATGTGGGATTATTAATAAGAGAGAATAGAATTTAAAAAACAGTAATGATACACACATGTTTTCATAGGCTATATTGAGTATTTTGGCTTTTCTCTACCCTTTGCTGTGAAATGAGGCACAAGCTGACCTCTATGAGCGTCCAACAGTTGTCTAAATTCAAACTTGTCAGAATCAGCTTCACTGGACAGTTATTTTCACAAATATGAGGAATTTTTCTCAGTTTAACTTTGCTCTCTATGTACAAGGATTAAACAGTAAATATTAAAGGAGCAATATGTGACTCTGACACAGAAGCTTCACTTTATCTCCTTTATCTCTTCATCTCCAATATTGATCCTAGTTTGAGCACGTTTCTGCTCGTGGAGCTTATTAGAAACATGCAGAGGCTTTTTAGGTCGAGTACAATCACTTCTATCTGAACCACTTCCCGCTTCCATCACTGCAACACTTGTTGACCTGATAACTGCTCTCATATCTGGTAAACCGAGGGGTTAATATGTACAAGCCTACAAAAACAAATCAATTGCAAAACTTATGCAGATTTCTAACCTGATAATAAACACTATGTAATCATTAAATTACATCCAATGATGCACTAATGGGTTATTGAAATATGTATCTTATTTTTCTGTTGAGCGCTGGAGTTTACTTTAACTTTCTCATGAAGGTTTGTTTGATTGAGACACAAAAGAGCATCATATTTTTTTTTTAAACTATCATACATTTTGTCAGTTATTTATGTAAACTCTTCAAATGAACTGTAAAGTATCAAACAATTAAGCTGTCAAATAAATGTAATGGAGTGAAAAGCATATTTCCCTTTAGATTTGAGTGAAGTATAAAGTAGCATAAAAACTGACAGAGTGCAAAGACAGCTCACATTACAAATAAAAACTATCTGAATTCATTATTTGTCAAACTCAATATTTTCCAGTTTGTCTGAGCAGTGAGTGTTTTACTGAGCTCTGCAGTTTCCATTGCTATCCCACATTCAGCTGACCCGACTCTTATTCTGCTCTTTCCTGTGAGTTAGCATCACATGTGGCATCCACACAGGACTCACTCTGTAGTCGTTAAGATTTCCTCACATTCACAGAATATTTCTTTGAAACACAAGGCTGGGCTGTACGTAGATAAAGTGAGATAAAGCAGAAGCTCAAAAAGGAACACGTAGCTCAATGCATCTTTCTGGTGCAACATAAAGTTGTTTACAGTTAACAGTTATTTATGTCACAGCTTAACTTTCAAGAGAGGAACAAACGGTCTTTCCTGCAGTGCTGATTAGATTTCTGAGGTATTTCAAGTTAAACCACCAGACCTCTGCGGGGTTTTCATTAATGTGACATCATTCTTAAGACATCCGTCATCTATCGCTTGTATCGTCTAGAGAAAACCTTACTTTAATCCTGAAGAAGATTCATGATAAATACTGTGGCATAAATGTTTGTGAAGAACATCATCTGTAAAAAGACAAAAAGGACCCTCTGTGTTACACTAATATTATGTGCAGGGCCTTGTCCTAAGGGTCGTGTGGCCTTGGCCAGGGCCTGGCTGATTAGGAGGCCTTTGTCCCCATTGAAATCTGATTGGCCACTCCAGGTATTTTTATTGTTTGTTATTTGCCTTGTCAGAGGCCGGACTTAAGTTAAAATCATTTTATTGGGCTGTGTTATATCAAGCTGCTTGTAGCTCTTTTGTACTTCAATGCCTCGCATTTCCTTTTGTTGGAATTTTGAATTATGACTTTGGACAAAGTACATGTTCTCTTTGAGTCTACAAGATTTAAAGGTTGCCACTACTACTTTCTTTAATTCGGTTACATACATGGATTTCTCTTTCAACTTTCAAGAACCTGGTGTGCTTTTTCGGCAAAAATACAACAACATTGTGACATTTCATCAAAGATGTGAAATATATTAAGAGTGCTGGTGGTCTAGTGATTAGTTCACGCACCCCATGTACAGAGGCTACTGTCCTCAAAGCAGCCTGCCCGTGTTGGAATCCGACATGTGGCTCCTTTCCCCACATAAAAGCCCAGAAATAAATCTTAAAAAACACACACTTACATTGCATAATGTCTGCTTGTGAACTACACTTTAGAGAGATGTGGATTGCCGTTCATAATATTTAACTGCATTATTTAAATCCATGGACAGATTACAGAAGTTTAACTATCATTTGTCATTCTTCAATTCAAGGCAACGCAAATAAAAAGTTGGTAAAAAATGGGTGAATTTAGTTCAGATTCAAAGTGTTTATGCCCTAACATGCAGGCTGAGTGGAGTTTCTAAAAACCTGAATGAATTCTTGGATTACCAGAAAAAGACCCTAAAGCGTGGACATCATCTGTTCAGGCTGTTCAACACATGCAGCTGGGAATATTTCCCCCAAACACATCGGGGAAAACTTTTTTTCACTTTTTTTTGCATGTGCTTTACATGACATCCCAGAAGTTTAGTCATGTATTGGTTCTTGTTTTAAAAAAAATCACTGAACATCAAACTAAGGAAAAGTCTTTATAGAGATGATTCAAGTCATTGTAAGACAGTGGGGTTCTTTGATTGGATAAAGGCCTGCTATGATTTCAATCCCTGTGTCAGTTTTCTGCATAAAACCAAAGTCTGCTCCCATGTCCTGATGTGGTCAACACTACTGAGTCTACAAAGCAGAATGCTGCTGATGTCTTAGCAAATAGCAACCTGTAATCATCATCTTAATTTAGTGGATGGAGTCATTTTCACCTGGGGTCTTAAACTGATTAATGCAGCATTGTTGGGTGCTTGAGCCACTTGTTCCTCAAGGTAAAAGTCCACAAAATCCTAATAAAACGACATGAGACCACAGGATGCATGCAGAGAATTCACAAATTAAATAGATGTAGAGTGCAAGAGTCAAATAATAAATGTAAATATGGTCGACCACCAGACTCCAATTGTAAGGAGAACATGTATTAGTTTTGAAATCGAGCAACATGTGAGTTTTTAGCACCTCCACTGAAGCTAGCCGTCTCTTGGATACTCACTTTAACATGTCATCTCAATGAACAGATTCTGCTTTTTTAATCAGCATGTTCACGTGAGGGACTGGATTCTGTCATCTGAAGTCTTCTGGCTTTCATTTGCAGTATGAAGAGTTTCGCCCTCCATTGTTTCAGCAGGCTTTTGATGTATGCAGGAAAACAGTGTTTGGTGAGCAAACGAAGCAGAAAGGGGCTCCGCTGTAGTGCAATCCTGACACTTATTAGCAGTCATCTTGTAACAGTTTAGCTTTAACTAATGTCTGTCAACAAATATCTGCATAAAACAGCAGCTAATAATACATTCTCATATTCTCAGAGATTATAATTTCTCACAATTAGGATGAAAAAGGTTTTTTCTATCCCCAGAAAGTGTTTCCCCTTTTCCCACTTATGTGCAGTTCTGTTGCAAAACAATCCAGCACAGTCATGGGTACTGATCTTCCTAACAATGGTGTCAATTATTCCCGTTGTTGGACCTCATCATGTGTCACAAAATGCATGCAGTGCAGAGGGTGAACATGAACTCCAGTATGTGCGACTGGTTAGAAAGATAAAGTTCTGCAGACTTGATGCTTGTTTCTCAAAGCAGACAATCTTCAAAGTGTGTTATTATCTCTGACCTTTAGTTTGTTTTTTCTTTGCAGCCATGCAAGCCCTCTGACAGGACCTCTCGACACTCCATCAATCACTTCTATCGCCTCCGTCCCTCCATCTTCCCCCCTCTCTCCACCTTCCCTGCCCTCCTCCCTCCCTCCTGCCCGGCCATGTCGACCCAAACCGCCTCCTCCTCCTCCTCCTACGCCCAAACCCTCCCAGCTCCCCACCAGTTCTCCTCCACCTTTGTCCATTCCGTCCACTCCTCCATCCCTCCCTCCTGCCTCCAGACCTCCCCTTCCTCCTCCCTCCATTCCTACACCTTCCCCTACTTCATCCAACCTTCCTCCTCCATCTCTTCCTCCTCCTCTCTCCCCAATTCCGGCATCGCCGTCACCCCTGTCCCCTCTTCAGCCGAGTCTCTCCTCCGAGCTGACCCCCTCTACTCCTCCTCCTCTCCTTCCTCTTATATTATCACCAGCTATCTCGTCCTCCCCATCACCTGCTCCACCTTCTCCCCCTGTCATCCAATCATCTTCCCAAACTCCAAGCAATTTAAGTCTGATAGATCGGTTGGTTGGGAGCGCCTCGGTGTGGCAGCACAAAGGACTCAGCCAAGAGAAAATCACAAGTATGCTGGAGAAAGAGACAGCAGGGGTGAGACACACACACACACATGCACACACACAACACAAAAAACAGTGGTTTTGCAAAGTAAAAAAGACCTGATAAAAGAGAATTAGTTAATAAAGTGTTGTATGATAACAACACAAAATACTGGCGGATCCTGGGTTTGGATCCAGCCGGGCAGCATTGGAGTAGCCACCCCAAAATCCTGCACTATGATTGGCTCTGCAGTTCAATTTAAAAAAAAGTTGCATATGCCCCTGACTGAAGATGTACAGTAAATCTCCATTCAAAGCAATAATGGTTGAACTTGAATAGAGAGTAGTGTGTTGTTTTGCTGCTGCTCATCATGAGGGGTATGAACATACATACATATAAATATTAAATATTTTAAGTATATATGTGAAACTCATGCTTTCCAGCCTGACCTGATCGCTCATGTTTCAGGCGTTCCTGGTTCACGGCGCAGAGCGTGAGGCCATGACCCTATCGGTGCGGCTGCCTGATGAAGAGGGGGCGCCACTTGTTAACAACCTGCGGGTCAAACAGCACAAAACATGTACGTGTTACACGCATGTGCAGCTTCTGGCTCAGAGAGCTACAAGAATTACAAAATGCAACATTTGCATGATTGAGTGATTATAAGCTGTTTGTGAGAGATTTGTTTTCCCGTCTCAGATATCCACCTAGATGGCTCCAGTCTGGTTTTTGATGACGACATCTTCAAACTGATCTCCTTTTACTTTGCCAGCAGGTAACGCTTACTAACACACATGTACTACATAACTATAAAATATGATTATAGCTTGTGCAAACTCAAATATAAACACTCAAGCATGCATATGATTAAATACCTATACTTACACACATACATGGACAATGATTCAACATAAATACAAACACAACATACATATTAAACATTAAACATGCACACCCCATAAGAGCATCATGTAAGGTCTCTATGAAGCTCTCTGTGTAAACCTAATGCTTGCTTTTTATGTTTGGATCCGCCGTTCAGGGACATCCTTGCCATCCCATTGAGGTTACCGCAGGCTATTACCACGGCAACCAACAGAAAGGAGCTGGAGGTCATCTCCACTATGGGAGCAGGTATATAAATCTATGTTGTTAGTGCATGGAGGTGGGGGGGGGATACATTTAAAAGTATGACAGCATGAATGAACACATCCAAAATAGAAAAGATACAGACAGTCACTGTTCATATAAAAAGAGCAAGAAAATAAAGCAAATCAAGATTTATTTGGCATATAGGATGTGTAGTGTTCTCATCACAACGTTAACAAGTTAGAAAGGTGTGTGGGACTAAAGAGTTGAAATCTGTGTCTCTTTAGACTGTTTTACTCTTTAAACAAAATCTTAGATGAAATCTGAAAGAAGAGGGAAACAGCTAGCCAAATCCACCAACCAAACAAGTTTCAACTTTCTCAACTTTAATAGGAATGAAAAGACATCTCTTAATGCTGTATCCAGGCCTGTTTTATAAGATGGACAGCTAGGACAACAATCCTGCACCGGCCAAAGTGATTTAGAACAACATGCAGCCAATTCAGATAAGATGCAAATTCAAACACACATGCATAAGTCCAAAAAATTAAAACACGCTTCAGATGAAAGAACATGCTGAAAAACGCTGCAATTGCAATTACAATGCAGTTAAAAACACAGAAGAAGAAAAGACAAAAAAAAAAAAAAAAGATGCAAATCCAACGACAGTGCTCCTGGTGTTTTGAGGTAGTCGATATGGGTCAAATCTCAAAAGCTGTCTGTCAGATTGTCAGGTCAGAAGAGATCCATCAAGCTTACATTAAAGATTCAACAAATGAAATAATCTCAATACAAGAGAGACTCACAGGTCAAACAAAAGAGTCAGTATTGAGTGATAAACGCGGATAATGAGTACAAAGAAACTTTTCTAACACTAACTGCATGTCTTGCAGATTTCTGGACGTCTGATCTGCACCAGCAGGCAAAGAACCAGGATCTGGATTTGGATCAGAACCACAACAACCTGTTCTTGTATGTAAACCCGGTGACTGTAGAGGAGACCCCCAACAAAGACCTGAACCCCCCATCTATCTCTAAACCTGAGATCATCACCAGTCAGAACATCCCCGTCTCCATGCAGAACGGAGACGCTCCAGAGAAAGTCAGCACAGAGGCCAACAGTCAGACTAAAAACATGCCAAACATGGAGATAAAATACAAACGCCCCCCACCTAGACCCCCCAGTCTGAGCTCAGGGTCTGGGGTTGGACTCCTCTTCTCATCTCCGCCTAACACCTCGTCATCTGTAAACACAGCAGCTGAGAGAAAAGAGGAAGGAAGGGGAGGAGTAGGGGAGAAAGAAGAGAGGAAGTCAATGTCAACATCACCTCCTCCGTCACGGCCTCCCGTCCCGCTGCAGAGCCGAGCTGCTCCTCCTCTGCCTCCTGCTCCTCTCCGTCGCACCTCCTCAAAGAAGAGCACCGACCGAGATGTGGCCGAGGGGAGGGAGAGAGAGAAGGGACAAAATCCTGCAAAGAAAACAGAGGGAGAGGAGGGAGGAGAGAGAGGAGAGGCGAAAATGGGAAGTAAATCAGGTCTGCAGAGTGAGGGTGTTGAACATGAGATCAGTGGCCAACAGAAAGAGGAGGAGGAGGGGAAAAGAGAGGATGAGAAGCAGCAAAATAAAGAGGAAGACAAAAACAAACCCAGCTCAACGTGTCCACCATTAATCAAGAAACCGTCCCGTCCAGTCCCTCCACCCAGGAGGAAACCATCCTCACCAGAAGCACCTGTGCAGCCCAACCAGGCAGGAGGAGGATCAACCAATCAGAGCGCCGGGATGAGAGTCCCCCCGCCCCCCTCAGCACGGCGCCCAGATGTGTCCCTGTACTCACCACAGGGGGGAGCTGTGCTCGGAACAGACCCTGACTCCTGCTCCACCAGCAGCACAGAGGAAGAAGGAGAGCAGAACCAGGAGCAGGAGCAGAACCACAGGTGAGCCTGGATTGGCTGGCATAGAGAGACTGAGTGTTTCTGAGCTCTGCCTTCCGTAGTTACTGTTGCTATGCCGCTTTAGCTGGGAGTGGGTCCAGAATACTTACCTGGGATGGCCCAACTAGAGAACTGATTTAAACAAAGCTGGCATAAAGTACATGTTCACAACATAGACTGTATATTAAGATGGACAGAGAAACAGCGGCCCGGGAGTGAAGCCAAAATATTTAGATCTCTGCCTCAAGTTGTCACATACATGTCACATACATTTTTGTCAGTTCCAAATTAATTGTTAATTATTACCACACTAAATGTATGTCCTTAATTCTTCTGAAAAGTGAAGTTTAAATTAGTTATTTGATGCAAAATAGAGCAGATGTAACGTCATGATCGACAGTCTGCTTCAAACTGGCACAAGAATCGCACTGACCCGAGGGTCAGGTTATCAATATGTTATATGGGTGTTTTGGTTCTACCAGCTCCAATCTGTGCACGACACGCTCTAAATTACGTCACCAGCGCAATATATCAGTGACTATCACGGGGTTATCTTGACTTCACTTTTGTACAACAGGAGGAGATGTTTTGTCCATATTAATATACAGTTAATGGTGCACACAAACACAAGTCGGAAAAGCATTTATTTACCCTTTCTGTTTCACTAATTGAACCTACTTTATATAACTATCAAATAAGGTTTCCTATAGTGTTAAATTCTGAGACATGTATTGAGTATATATCGTTATAATCCATCCTTCATTTTTAAAGGGTGCAAAAAGATGCATCTCCAAAAGTTACTATAAAGTGTACCATCAAAAAATGCGTTACATTGAAATGCAACAACACAACCAAAATAAATGAATAAACAAGTTCTATACAAACACATGATACACTTCATTGTCCGCTTGAGTAGATTTGTCTTGAACTCAAAGTGCCGCCACACATTCAGTTGCTTCCACTCGAATCAAAAAATAAACATGCAGCACATATTGCTATACATAGCTATAAGCATACAGATGAACAATACATGGATCAAATTTAGAAGAAATACAATTATAGCAGTACAACAAAATGGGAAAATTAAAGAATGGAAAATAAGTAAAAATTTTAAAAGACTAAATAACAATGCCCCTACAAAAATTTAAAAAAAAAGGCTATAACATTGCTCCAGATTAACCAGAATAAAATATAGTCTCTTTGCAGTATGCTAACATTTGCAGCTCCAGTTAATCAAATATGTATATTCTTTAATCAAATCCTAACAAATTGTCATGCAGACTGTCTTTTTAGGTGTAGATGCTTTCGAGTTTACTGCACATACACTTACTTACTTCATAGCGCTGTAATGAATCATGGCTCTGTAAATCATGTGACTGTGTGGATGCACAAAAAAGACACCAAGAGGAAGAAGAGTGTCAGAATAGACAGAGGACAGAGGACAATAGAGTTACAGAGAAAAAGATCACTAAGACGTGCGTGCAGGGGGGAGGGTGAAGATGGTGAGTCTGGAACTACACATGAATATCGAGGAGTGAGGAAATATCAAAGAAGAGACCTGTGATGCTGGGAGAGACTACTCGTAAGGTCACAGAGCAGCCAATTGTATCACGTGAACTCTCATGGGGGAAAAACTGGGGCGTTACGCAAAAGCTTTCACACAGCTGTGTGAAATTATGTAAAAGTTATACTTAAGTAAGAGGAACTGAAAAGTGTCAGGTGTGTGTGTGTCTGATTTGTTCCAGGTGTGTTAAGTTTATATATCCCCTTGAGTTGCAGCGACTCTGTGCTGACTCACCATCAGAGATTGTGAGAGCTTCTCTCTGTGTTTCCTGGGTCTTTTAGAAGTGTGTGATTCTACGTAAACACCACTTGACTTGCTTTGTCTCCAGCAGCTCTACAAAGTGTAGTCTGTTGGTGCTGGGAATATCTGACCCAGCCTTTTTGGTTTCTTTATAAACACGGGCCTGTTTGTGTCTCAGCTGTAGTGAGTTTGTGTTGTTTCCCTTGAATCTAGTTTCTTATCAGCTGCTCGGCAGAGGTGGTTTAGTTTCCCATCATCTCAGCAAAGGGAGCATATTTATTTGGATTGTAACTATTTTGGTCCCCCCACCCCCACTTGTGATTTTAGTGGTTATCCCTCTGGAATACATTTAAGAGACCCAGGATCCGTATTTGCGTCCCACTCCCCCACATCATTCCACATCTCTGTGTAGATGAAACTCTTTTTTATTCTGAATCAGATAAAATAAACACCAAAGATGTAATTCTAATGTATAATATTTTTGCTAGATATTTATTTACAGTATGTCAAGATGATGCAAAGTTAAATCAAAAGATTTCTCTACTTGCTTAAACATAAATGGAAACACATTCTTTGTACAGAAACTAAAAACTTGTTGCCATGCATGCAAAATATCTGAACGTGCAAGGTAGCTTAGCATTTATAAATAGCTAAAAAGGAAGTTTGCACAAAGTTCAAACCATATAAATGTTTTTAGCTGCTCATACAGATCTCTGCGTCACACCACTTCTCTGCACAGAGACTCACTCTCTGAATCAATTTGTACCACCATGTAGAGAGTACTCTCAGTCACAAGTCATGTATCGCAGAATGTTTCTATATTTAGATGACTCTCAAAGTGTTGCTCAATCAAACACTGTGGCAGTGAGTGTTACAAATCATCTTTAGATCTTTAAGGGGCTGAAGAAATACTAATGTTTTCCTTTTAGCCGCACTGCAGAGAGCCGCAGCCCCAAAGTGACCGTCAAGAGAACTCCCACCACCGTCATGTTGGACCGAGCTCGACATCGCCTCTCCACCGTCCTCACGGGCCTCATCAGCCACGACCGCCGCCTGACACAACGCATCGTGGAGCTCACCAGGGACCCTCTGAGCTACTTTGGAAACCTGGTGGGTACAGTCATCGGATTTGGAGATTGAGGATGAGCACTCAGCGGATTTATGTGGATTTTGTTTTTATGTTTAATGTTCATACTTTTCATTTTAAGGTCAAAGAGCACCGTGCGTTCACCCTGGAGACCATGTCGAACCACTCCTCCTCCACCGAGCTGCTGCAGGAGATCAGACAGATGGTGACTCAGCTGAAGAGTTACCTGCTGCAGAGTACAGAGCTGCAAGCAATGCTGGAGCCGCAGCATCAGTATGCACAGGACAAACTGGGTAACTTTTATCTTTTATTTAATACTTTTTAAGCACTTTTTTTTCCACATGTATTCTTAGAATTAAGTGGAACTCAAATTCCCCTTGCATATTTCTCACATAAATGTTCGGATAATACACCTGTACAAACTGATGTTGATATCTACTGTGGCTGTAAAGGAGCTTTTGAAAAATGTGAGAGGAACTCTGATCAATTCAAAACCTCTGTTTTGGTGTTAAGAAGAACTCCAAAGCTCTGACAGCGAGTCTGTGTACCAAAAGGTCGGGAGATGGTTTTTTGAAATGTGTTGGCATTTCTCAGGCATGGGACAATCTAACGGACACTTCTTAATTGCATCCTGGAGAAACAAAACAAATCTGACAGCTCATGTTCATTTTGCTTCATTCTCATATGGATATTTTACGTCCTGTCTAATTTCCTGTCGAGCCCAATCACAACAGTTTATGTATTATGCAGTGGGTTCATTACAATGGCTAGAAAATGTATTAATTAAAACAAAAACAAGGATTTCGACGCCCATTGGTGGATATTGTCAACACAGATTTTCAAATAGCTTTTGTTAAGAAAACATTGATGTCATCATCACTGACCTTGTTTGCAGTTTGAGATGTCCTGCCAATAGTTTCTCAAAATCTCCTTCATCAGGCTAAGGGGAAGTTGTTTGGAAAACTATGACATTTGACTGGATACTTGTGTTTCCGCAGAGAGTATTGCAGAAGCAGCGATGTGTAAGAGTGTCCTGAAGCCACTGAGGGAGCCGATTTATCAGAGTCTGGAGAAACTTCACAATAACAACAGCAGCCTCAAACAACTGGCACAGAACCAGGTAGGCCTGCTGGACTTTCATAGTGAACAATAAAACATTATAAGTTACCGGTGTACTAATTGTTGTGTGTCAGTCTGTAGTCCTCGGCAGCACCACCACCGCTTTGGGAATAACCACAGCCGTCCCCGAGGCCTCTGCGATGGAGAAGATCAACATCAAACTGAACAACCTCCATCTGGAATATTCTCCGCAAAGAAGATCGAGATGCTGCTGAAGGCCTGCAAGATCATCTACGACTCCATGGCTGTCAGCAGCCCAGGTCAGAACCTTCAGAACCTCCAAGACCTCAAACCCCTGGTGCTCTTCTTATAGCCTTCATTATCCCTCTAGAGTGAGGGAAACAGAAAGGCAACACAAGTTCATCCATAAAGCCCCTTCATACACTGAGCAGTTAAAGTGCTTTACAGAATGAACTATGCACTATATTCACTGAGCTAACATGAGATGGTGTCAGAGTGTAACTACTTTCACTGTCACAGATCTAAAACATAAAGCAGGCACCACTTTGTGGAGCTATTTGGTACTGAAATAATATTCTTACAGTTACAATGTGACAAAAACAGTTATTTAATATTGAAAACAAAAGCCATTTACAACCTCTAACACACTGAGTGCTGGTCTGCATGTTGAAACTTTGAGCCAAGTACACAACATAATAAAACTTATCCATCTCAAATCTAAATCTCTCCAGAGTTTTCACTGTCAAAATATTTATTTGTGTGTATTTGTGTGTTTGTGTGTGTGTGTGTGTGTGTGTGTGTGTGTGTGTGTGTTTAGGGCGGGCCCATGGTGCTGATGACTTCCTGCCAGTAATGATGTACGTCCTGGCCAGATGTAATCTGTCCGCCCTGCAGATGGACGTGGAGTACATGATGGAGCTGATGGATCCGTCTTTAGCACTGGGAGAAGGTACACACACAGTGCACATGTTACTTTAAAGCACAGTCCATACTTTTTTCTGTTGCTGTTATTGATCATGCCCTCTGTGTGTGTGTGTGTGTGTGTGTGTGTGTGTGTGTGTGTGTGTGTGTGTGTGTGTGTGTCAGGATCTTATTATCTGACAACCACGTATGGAGCTCTGGAGCACATAAAGACGTTTGACCAGCAGAGGTCAGCGACGCGGCAGCTCAGCAGAGAGGTGCAGGACTCCATCCACCGCTGGGAGAGACGACGCACGCTCAACCAGGAGCGCATGAACCAGGGATCTGTGCGGGTACACACACATACACACACAAAACATGAGAAACATTAAGATTAAGTCTTAAGTATTAGTATTATCTGTGGCTGAAATAACATTGTGTAATCTAAATATTATTACAAAAAGACAACACATTAGCTGTTAAAATCAGTAAAACTAAATTAATTAAATCGTGTAATAAAATAAAAGGTGTAATAATGGCAGCAGAGAGGCAGACTGGGGTTATTGGTTGTTGTTGCAAGGAGAGATAGGAGGCTCTTGGGATACTATGAAGTCATAACTGAACTTAACACCATCTTCTGCATGATTTATTTAAAACAATTACGAGCTGCAACAAGAATCTTTTTAAGATTCCTTGAAAGAAAACAACAAAACATGTAACTTTTAGAGGCACTTGTCTGAATGTCTTGTTCCTTAACTTCCCTTGTTTAATGTGTATGTTTCCTAATAAATATGTTACATTTTCGGTCTTTGCATTAAAAAAAAAAAGTACATTAAGAAAAATAAACAGTTTTTAGATTCACAAAGTTTACAGCTTCTGTTTGGAAAAGTACAGAAGTGTCCAACTGAAAACGATCGCAAAGGCAAACAAGCAGTGCTGTGAACATGAGGTTAACTTGTGTAACGTTTGTGTGCTTTTTTGTGTGTGTGTCTGTGGGTGCTTGTGTGTGTGTGCATGTGTTGTACAGGACTTTTTGACAGTGTGTTGTCCTGAAGTTGGAACCAACTCAAAGACTCTGGGCGTCCTCCCGACCACGACCATCGAGGAGCTCGCTGAGCAATGTGCCGCTCGCTTTGAGCAAGGTGAAAGATAACTGTCACTTGTTGTTTCACTTATTTATTCAGCGAATGACTTGCAACATTTGTGTGCTGTTTAAGTCAGTTATTATTTCAAATTGAAACCATCGATTGATTAATGGAGAAAGAAAATCAACAGAATAATCCATAATCAATCCAAGATATTCTATAGATTCAGTACCTCAAGTTAAACATTTTGTAAAGTTCAACAAACCAACACAGTAAATTACAGATTTATAACAGTAAATAAAATAACGTTATTACTACACAAACTCATCTGCATTAAGTAAATTACTTTGACATTTTCTAAAATAACAATATCAATGTTGGACTTAAAAATATTGTGTCTTTCTAGTTTTTCCATGACTGTATGAATCCTAAACTCTAGATCTATAAAAAGAAGTGTTTCAGTGGAGTGGTCTTAAGTAAATAAATTGTTCTTTGGATGGCGTTTCCATGGCACTCTTATTAAAGCTGTCCCTTGGTAACATGATGATTTCTTCCCTCAGACGATTACATGCTCAGTGTGTACACGGATGGTGCTCAGCGGCCCCTGGCCCCCACAGAGTTGGCCGTCAGTGTAAAGAACAGCTGTCAGCCCGGATCCTACTGCTTCGTCTATCACCCCGTCAACCAGCCAATCAAACAGCCGGTCCGCAGCTGCCCCACCGACCCGCCCCCAGCTCCTCCGGCACAGATCTTTTCCCCAGCTGACGTCGAGGCTGTCGATACTGTGGAGGCGGAGGAAGAGGAGGAGAGTCTGATTAGCTTGTAGCGGTTTCAGCATCACAGTGGCAGCTGATAACTGCATCTCTGTGCATCATGAAAGAACTGATTCAAAAGTTAAACATTAAAATGTTTTAATGTAAGGTTAGGGAATATATCGGATATAAAATGATCATCTCCCTTCTTTGAATTAGTTTTTATTATTCCACATTTTTTAACTTAGGCCTTACTTGAACATATTTTGGGGTCTTAACTTAATCGTACAAAAAGTTTTGGATAGCTCCAGTGAATCTCTACAGAACAAATTGGCAGCAAACTTTTCCTTAGTGGGAACAGTGTTGAATTAAAGTGCTTCCAATATGCCACAAATGGGGACAGATTGTAATTTTTCCAACATTACAAAAAAGACACTTAAAAAAATTACCATTTTCTTAAAGGGTTAAGATGATTTTCAAACTAAAAGCAGCTATTTCTTTTGTCTCTGCAAAGCCACCAGATTCATCTGACAAAAACCTTGCAAGCCACAGGAGTTGTTAGTCTACTGTCGCCTCAATAGAGTTAGATGAAACATTGTTTTAAGCAATATATATTGTGTTGGATCGACATTTATAATAAAAACACCGACACAGTTTGTTATACGACAAACAAATGGACAGACTAAGGCAGATGAGTTACTGTCTGGTGGCTTTCAAGAGAGAGATGTACAGTACAGCTGTTTTTAGTTTCAATAAAACGTCTTTATTTTGGGAGCGCAGATAGCCTAGCAGTAATGTTGCGCGCCCCATGTACAGAGGCTGTCTACCCAAAACAGAAAGGCACTTACGTTTTTCAGACACAGACAATAACAACTTTAGTTTGTCAGTAACAAAACAAGCTCGACTTAACGTACTTATATTTTTTTCTGCACATATTATGTTGCAGCCACTACAGCCTGTTTCATGGTTGCTGGCTCAAGCAATCTACCCGAGCAATTCCAAATCTCTATATATTTGATAATCATTAAGACCCCAAAATATGTGGTTCGAGGGAAGGAAGGAAGGAAGGAAATTAGCTTTTACATTTCTGACTGATCTGATGGCGTGTGAAACAAGCATCTCTAAAGGAGCGACTCAAATGAGACAACACAGAGAAAAGACTGATTGTGTTTGGCTGTGTGGGGTCTGGAACCTCAGAGACTGTGGAGGGATTTACACAATGTACAGAAATATGAAATTGTAACATGCACATATATATGACTCTGTTTATAATGTTTATACTCTTTTCTACTTGATGCTACCTCCTCTGGTGCTCAAGACTTCAGAAGGAGAATGTACATTATTAGCTTTAGGCTACTTTACCACATGGACTGTAATGGTTACACGTTATTATATCAGAACAAATCCGTACTTTCTATGGATGTCCGCAGCATTTACTGTCAGTATTACTTTCAAGTATCAAAGCAGCTTTATGGACCAAGAGTATCTTTTTTTATTTTAAATATTTGCAGCAAGGATCAAGAAATTTCATTTTACATTAGATTTTTTTTTACTCATGATTGTAAATAAACTTGCTTTACAATTTGCTAACGCTGTTTCTTGTTTCTTGTTTCTTGTGACATTTCTTTACTAAAGGTTGCAGTGCTTTATAATAACTGATAACCCTCAACTCTACTATTGGTATCAAGTGTCCCGGTTTGTCCCATTCTTCTCCCTTTATTGTGCTGTGAACTTCTTCTTCTTCTTCGATGACCAACTAACCTCTGTTCTCATTACCCTCATTCATCTCCAGTCAAACTTTCAGTAAAATTGGTATAGTGAAATCTGTCTATCACCCTTTTTTTTAAAATTGAAATATCGATATTTGGCTGTTTGGCATCAGTGATTCTGTAATGGATGAGGATAAATTGCTGTATCAATATTTTCTTCCACCTATAAGTGTTAGTGACCCAAGGTGAAGTCAAGCTTAGACGTAAAACTGTTTTGATTTGCTCAAATTTCTCCAGAATTTAATAACCAGTTCAGCATTTATTTATTTTCTATTTGACCTGATAAATACATGAACCATTCAGTGACAAAGGCCCTGAGGGGAGTTGACTGTATTTCTAATGCGAACACAGGTAGTGTGAGGTGACTAAAGCTTTGTGTCTGATGCTTGTTATCCTTTTTTTAAATTCAGTTTGCTGCAGGTCCTTGTTAGGGCTACCTGCTTCCTGTCCACATGGTCATTATTTCCCACAATGCCCATAACGAGGCCCTTAACCGGTAACAAGCTTCCTCTATGCTAAAAAACTCTGCAGAATGTCCACATTTAACCTTTTTCTTGTTTCCATGTTGGTTGAGATCCACATGTGGAAACCATTTCATGTCCCAGGAGCGATGTATCAAATATAAGCTGACATCTGATTTTGTATCAGATCCTGTAAAGCTTATGTTTAGAAATGGGGGGGTCTCTTGATGTTGCCATACTAACAAGATGTCTTTGCACACCTTGATTTGTGCTGGAAACAGCCCCATCCTATTTCAGGGTTTCCAACTGAGAATTCCTTTTGTCCACAGTTGTCATACTAAGCTTTCTAAAATGGGTAACCACAGCACAGAGGGGCAATACAACATCGATTCACAATTTATGTAACTTGTAACCTAGACACCTGATTACAACAATAAGGGACTTTAACAATTCTTAACACCTGTTTGGGTAATTTGGGCAACTTTGATGATCAGGGTGCAGTTGAAGCAAGAAGACATTGATCAGAAATGCGTGAAGCTTTTGATAGTTCCAATACTGTTGCACACAAGCTACATAAAGTGCACCGTCTGATGGCCGATCATTACATCGTGAAAACCTTGATGTTGATTCTGGGACAATGACGTGGCTGGTAAGCTAGCTAGGCTTTTGTCCTGATAATGTATTCCTGTTGGCCATCATTCCAATTCTGTAGGACACACTTTGTTGTCCTACTACTTACTGTTGTAAATCACTTAGCCTTTGAACTCAGATTTCAAGCCTGGTTTCAAACCTACAAATCACTAAGCATGTCTTGCCTGTTAAGGAGTTGCCAACTTAATGTGGTGGAGGGGTTTGTGTGTCCTTGTGCAACTGGGAGCTGTCTTGTCCAGGGCACAAGCCCCTGGTGGGGTCTTCCACAGCAAATTGGTCCCAGGGGAGGGTCCTAACTAAGAGTGAGAGTATTGCATCTTTGCAACTCCAATTCAAAGAAAGTCAGACGTTACTGTTGTTTATTAGCACAAATTAGCAGCTCTTCTTTGAGTCTCTGGTCGTCTTGAAAAGGAATCCATCTCAGGAATCAATCTTCAACGCCCACATGGGCAATCATGGAGAAACTTGGAGTGGGCAATTGGGAGGAATGGTCTGCCCGATCTGAACCTGAGTTGTGATTTGGTATTGGATTTCTGTGCCAGTCATGGATTGGCCACCACGAACACTATTTAGGCTGGTTCATAAGGGCTAGGCCTAGGGTTAGGGGTACTACAATACCCTACCTGGAGGGTAGGAAAGTTTATTGTAGGATGCTGAAAAGGAGGCCCTGACCACTTGTCAAATCTCTGAAACAGGAGGAACCCAACCCTTTACCTGTCTAGATAAAGATGGATGAATGGATATATTGATGGATGGATATCTTGCTATTCTCAACAATTCAAATATGTCTTATTATTGGCTGATTTCCTCCAGGTGAAACTAAACAACTCAGCCAATCCAAACATTTGTCATCAGATACTGACAGGTCTTGAAAAAAGAAAAAATATGATGCTAACAACGGCTATCTCTTCAAAAATCCTCCAGCCAATACAACCACAAATGTCGCCTGTTCCTACTCCTTAACTGACCCACAGGAGAATCCGGGAAAGATTGTATTATGTACTTAACTCAGACAATACTGAAGTTATTGTGCTAGGCCCTAAGAACCTCAGAGAGACTTTTTCTAGTGATTTAACTGTCCTTAGTGACATCAGCCTGGCATCTAGCACCACTGTTAGGAATCTAGGAGTTCTTTTTGATCAAGATATGTCTTTTAGCTCTCACATCAGTCAAGTTTCAAGAACAGCCTATTTTCACCTTCGTAATATATCCAAGATCAGGAATATACTGTCGCAAAATGATGCAGAAAAACTAGTTCATGCATTTGTTACCTCCAGACTGGATCATTGTAACTCTCTTTTGTCAGGGTGCTCTGGCAAATCTCTAAAGACTCTTCAACTGGTCCAGAACGCTGCAGCTCGTGTACTGACCAGAACCAGGAAATGGGACCACACCACTCCTGTCCTGGCTTCTCTGCACTGGCTCCCTATACAGTCTACAATAGAATTCAAGATACTTCTTCTCACCTACAAAGCGCTAAATGGCCAGGCACCATCCTACCTGAAGGAGCTACTAGTGCCGTACTGTCCCTCGAGAGCGTTGCGGTCCCAGAGTGCAGGCCTGCTGGTGGTACCTACAGTCTCCAAGTGTACTATGGGAGGTAAAGCCTTCAGTTATCGGGCTCCTCTCCTCTGGAACCGCCTTCCAGTCGGGTTCCGGGAGGCAGACACAGTCTGTATTTTTAAGAATAGACTTAAAACTTTCCTTTTTGATAAATCTTATAGTTAGTGCTGGTGTAGACCAGCTCTTAGTTATGCTGCTATAGGCTTAGACTACCGGGGAAACTGGCACCTTGAGCTCCTCTCTCTCTCTCTCTGTGCATATACAGTACATCAGGGCTGTATCACAGTATAACAGTGTATCTATCTGTAAATCTCAGTCACTAACCACCTACTTTCCTGAGAGCTCTTGAGCTCTCTTAGGCTCCTCAAGATCGTTGGTTGACGGCCTGCCAGAACAGCAGCTACAGCCCCAACTAGTGACAGGTGGCTACGGTACACAACATTTGACAGGCTTTTGTGCGCTGCAATTTCACCCCTGAATCGCACCGAGTCCACCCAACTTTATATGTGAAAGTGACCTAAGTGACTAACCACATATTTTCCTGGGAGCTCCTGAGTTCTCATGTCTCATAAGATCCTTGGGATTGGTGGATGGGGGCCGCCTGCTGCTACGCTATCATCTTTGAAAATATGTATTTGCCATGACGCAGTCACCAAGACTGTTAGCTACATCTGCTGTAGTTTGTCATGACTGTGTCTATCATGGATATCTGGATGTTTAGTTTTACAAATGGACTAAAAATACCTTTTTCCCTGTATGGACAAAGTGAGACAGAGATGCTTTACTCTTGGAGGGAAAAAGTCCAGTATTTATTTGATCTGCTGCAGGGTCTGAATGAACATATTCACACGTATACACACACACAACTACACTAATGATTTTCAGTAATAAGACGGTGGGCTCTCCACAACCACAACATGACCAAAAGTCTTTGAAATGAGACACTAACAAGCTAACGGCTCTTCCTCTTGGGCATTCCCATAGCACGCTGAAGTCAAAGTTGATTTATCTGTGAATGCTTTTGTGTACGTGTGGGTGTGTTTGGGGGGAAGGGGTTAAAACCACTCCAGCGCAGGGTATATAAGTGCATATGACAGAAAAACCAACATCTGAACCAGAGAAGCTCTGCACACAGGCGCTAACAGAAGTAACCAGCCAGAGTTGAAATCCAAGTTTGAATCCAAAGAAAAGACAGGAGTAAATACAGGATAAGATAGTAAACAGGAACTAACAAAGTTTCTGACTGCACAAAGTTATTTATGTAGTTTTGGTTAGTTGTTTGCTTTGCTTCATTTCGCTGCTTATGTGACGCTTGACTTTCAATCTTTGCCTGCTGGGAGAGACTTTTACCTGATCTACCGACCACTTTGTTCACCTTAGAAGCAGGTAAGACATTAGCTGAATTCCATCACCAACATTTGTATTGAGCAAATGTTACTTTTCTTTTTCTGTTTATTAAGTGCTTTAAGATTGCAGGTCTATATATGCTAAACTTTTGCAAATGTAGAAAGTAGTTTGGAAAATTGGTTTCAGAGCAACATAAGTTTGGTTCTAGCTAAGGCTTTCTAAATGCAATGCTTTTAATTGCTGGTTATATGGTGTTGTAATTCTCTTTTTCAAACATCTACAACAACAAAAAACAAACAATCTTCAATAAAAATAATTTCATGTCAACAAAAATACTTGTCAGATTTAAGGTTTATGATTTTTAGCCTATAAACCTTTGATTACTCCCTTGGCAATTCCTGAACAAACTACTCTTTAATTAAATCTCAAAAATACACATATAGTAGTTTTATTGTTTATCTTACTTCCCAGTATGTATTGACAATAAGAGCATTGTTGTTTTCTTGCCTTCTGCTTTCTCTTCTCTTTCTAAGTCAATTTTTATGCACTTAAACACCAAGACCTAGTCCTTGTATTCGTTATCCTACTTGGCAACAAACCTGATTGTGATTCTGACATCTTGCGTTTTCAGGACCTCGAAGATAGCAGAGAAAACAAATCTTAGCCTATTTTATCTTAAAATAATGAAGCACATTAAAAAAACTCCATGGCAGCTTCTTCCTTTAAAGAATGAAGCTTAATATTGTGGATAAAAAAACAACTTAAAGACAGAGAAAACTTGTTCTTATAATTACAATTGTTCTGTGATTACATGTTGGTGTACCAAATGGGAAATGTAACAACACAGCAGCCTTGAGATGTGTTTTTAAATTCAAAAATGTTATTAATGATTCCAAATTTTGTCTCTTTCGATTGTTTTTCTATTTTACTTAAGTTTGAATATCATGGACTGTAGATGCACAGCTCATCTGAGCTCAATGAATGTGTTACCTTTAAGTAAGTCTCTTTTTTCCATTTGTTAAGGATGGCTGAGCTGCCTTCTTTTCCACGGATGTCCACACTGTTGCTTTGCATTCTGGGTATGACCATGATGACATCTGGCTTCCCTCACACTCGGCTCCATTTCAGGTGACTTTAAATAAATCTCTGAAATGCAACTACTAAGGTTAATGGAACACGAGTTGGAAGTCAATAATAACTTAGCTTATATGATATTATGAAAATATGTTTCCAATGGATCTCTATGTGACCTGATACCAGAAGTACAGATGATTCAGAGGAGCCTAAACGAGACGACTGGGACGTCCTCTTCCCCTCCATCTCTCTCCGCGATTGGAGCATTCAGATGATGTCCAGCCTCGGAGCGGCAGCCAATAGCAAAGAAAGGTTGATGAGGGAGGCGTGGCTTTTTGGCCCAGAAGAAGCAGAGGCCAGGTAACGATTAAGTAGAAGTTTCAAAGCTGGAACACCATCTTGCTGCAATTTTAGAAATGCAGCTCTATGTGTGGTTCAAATATTTGGTTGGGATAAAATATAAGATTGTGTTTAGATTTTATCAGGATGGTGGGAAACTCCAAAATGTCGGACTCTAAATCTATGTTTTTAGCCCTGTCACATTAGGTGGTTGGTCTCAACATTAAAGTCAGATTACAGTTTGGCATTTAGACCTTTATAACCCACTTCTTATCAAGCTCAGCTAATTAGCTACTGTTAGCTTAAAATTCCCAATTGTCTGAAAGAACTGTGTGTAGGTATGCATTGTGGGTAATGTAATCTATATGTTTTTAACAAGAAGAACTTTTGGAATAGTGCAGAAAAAAAGTATAAAATAAGTCAAAAACATAGATTTTTGTGTTTCGGTTGGTTCAGAGTTAGTTAGCATTCTCAAATATTGGAAAACGTTGCTGGGCAGAGGGACGTCTGGGGGAACTTGCTTAGCCTGCTGCCCCTGAGACCCGGCCCGGGATAAGTGGAAGATAATGGATGGATCGATGGACATGGGTTAGCACAAAGACAAGACTAAGGGATAAAAGAAAATGTCAGCCTAGCTTTGTTAAACGGTAAAGAAGATGGCGTACATTATTATTTAATCTATTTAGAAACATGTGATCTAGTTTTTAATCTATGCTAGGATAACTGAATGCTGGATACTTACATATCTAAGGATTGAGCTGAAATTTTCACTCTTCGAAAATAAGAATATGAGCATATTTACCAAAATGTAAAACTATCTTTAAATAAGTCAGTCGTGGGAGGGCTGGTAGCCCAGTGGTTAGCATGTGCGCCTTATGTACGGGGGCTACAGCCCTCCAAGCGGGAGACTTGGGTTAGAATCTGACCTGTGGCTCCTCTCCAGCATGTCATTCCCCACTCTCTCTCGACTGATCTTCTGTAAAAAAGACATAAAAAGCCCAAATATAAACCTTTCAATAAAAACAAAAGTCAATCATTTGGGTGCTACTTGGAGCTATATCAAAGTCAAACTGTGCATCATGATGTAAAAGTTCCTTTTTAAAGTAAAACTTCCAAGTTTCATGATTATTAAACGTGTGTCGCCATGTTTGATCTCTGGTACCTGGGTTGATTTGTTTGTTTCTGACCTTGAAGTCTCGCTCCGTGTGTCTTTACAGCGACAAGAGGGCGTGGCCTGCTGAGTGGTTGTCTCCCGGCGGCGGCGTGGCGAAGAGGAACATGGTGGTGGCCGACGATGCTGCGTTCAGGGAGAAGAGTAAACTCCTCACCTCCATGGAGAGACAGAAGTGGCTCAACTCGTACATGCAGAAACTGCTGGTGGTCAACTCTTCGTGATAAACAGGAAATACCTCTGAGTCTTTAGTGAAGATAGGCGAGGTCACCAATATAAAGAAAAGGTTGTGATATATGGTGGCCATTAACGCCTGCTTTATTTTTAGTGTATATGCAGAGCCTCTGAAATATAAATTCTAATCCCATTTCAAGATTTTATCTCAATTCTGCATTTTTTTAAATCATTGATATCCAAATTATTTAATCTAATTATTTATTTATTGGTGATGAAAAAATCTGAAGTGAGTTTGTTGGTCCTGCTGAAAATATTTTATTGATGGACAAATAAATAAAAGTGCATGTTATGTTTTACTTTACGTACGAGTATTGATGTGAAGACTTCAGGGATGCGATCTTCAGACAGACTCGCTGAGAGGATCACGTCTTCATCTCAAGACTTTATCCTTCATTTGAATGTTACGCTTTACTTCAGTATTTTCTTTATAAATCTCTGACTACAATGTCGTTGTCACAAACACTCACACCCCCAGGACAGACTTATGAGAAATTAAATGTATTTCTGTTTCATTAATGACAGTATTTTTCTTTTTTTAATTGGCTGAAAATTCACAGCTATATATATTTTTTTTTTAAAGATATTGTTTGGGCCATTTTGCATTTATGAGGTCAGCATTTATAGGTCAGCTGAAGAGAAACAGGAAATGTTGGGAGTAGAGAGGGGGGATGACATGCAGCAAAGGGCCTGAGGTCGGATTCCAACCCACGGCCGCTGCACTGAGGACTACAGCCTCTGTGTATGGTGCACGTGTCATAACCGCTAGGCTATTAGCGCCCCTATCACAGCTATATTTTAAAAATGAAGTCATGAATTAATATGTTTTTAATAATATTGTTTTTACTAAATTTATTCAGCATCTCCTGTCAACCCTGTTTGATTGAAAATTAAATATAAGAGTGCTGGTGGTGAAGTGGTAAGTGTGCGGAGGCTGTGGTCCAAGCGGGCAGCCCAGGTTCGAATCCGACCTGCGACTCCATCCCTGCATGTCATTCACCACTCTCTCTCTCTCTCTCCATTTTCAAATCCATCCACTTTCCTGTCTCAAAATAAAGGCATGAAAAGCCCCAAAAAAGAAAATTAAATATAACATAAAAACTAACTTTCAGCAACCGAAAGCTTGTTGAACGCTAATGACGGTAAAAACATGAGAAAGTGAATATCTGGCAACTCTATTATGAAAATCCAAATAGTGTTTATTTATAAATAAATAAATCCATCACATGAACATTATTTTGTCTGTAGTTTCACGGGGGTATCAACACGAGCTCGTCCTGCCTGCTGACCGTCTCCTGCAGCTGCATCCTGTTGGTCAGTCTCTGTGTGTCCCTCCTCTCCAGCAGCAGAGCCTCCGTCTGACGGAGCAGCCGAGCGGCCCGAGACGCTGCGAGCTCGTCTGGAGCTTCTGCACCAACGCAGGCTCCCTCTGCTGGTCGGCTGCCGTGTTTACCTGGACCTGCAGTCTGAAATCTGGCTCGGTACACCTGAGGAAGTGTCGGCAGGGAGGGGGAGGAGGCGAGAAGACCAGAAAGGGAGGAGGAGTCAGATCCAGACGGCGATCTCTCTCCTCCTTCTTCTCCTCCATCCTCTGTATCACCTCTGCGTCTCCTCTGTTCATTCTGTGACATCAGATGAAAGGATTATAAAATAACATGCTGTAGAGCAGGAACACACAAATGTCATTCCAACTTTAAAAATAAACACGTACAAAGGAAAAACGTAATGAAACTGGCATCAAATAGTTCTTGATTTAACTCACAAATTATTTTTTTCTAAAATGTATGAAGGCAGCATTGACATGTGACTGTGCTGAGATCAACTAGAAATGGTAGCTTATTGCACACCCCGCACCTTCTTAACCCCAAACAAATAATCAGCTGTTCAAATTAAATCAGTGCTTGTTTCTGTATTTGTCACACCCAAACATCACTGAAGACTAACAGGAAGCTCTTTTGTTTCATTTTATGTTTCAACAACTTCCACTAAACTTTCCAAATCCTTCATTGGTGGAGAATACGCTCAAACTTTATTTAACATAAACACTTTTCTTATTTGAATTAATCCAAAAGACATTCTTATTTTGTTTTTCTAATTTTAGAAAATATTCTTCAAAATACTATTCGAGCTGTTAAAATCTGTTTAAATGTTAATATTTTTTTAATTACATAAAATTCATTGTTTAATTTTCTGGTTTGATTTGCTCTGGACTGAAAATGACTCGGTACTTGAGATGCACAGATATATTGGCTGAATTCACCATCTTTCAATACTTGCCCTGTCCACAGATATCAGCTTATTGACAAATCATTTGGCACTCACAAACTCGTTAGCCGATACATTTCTGTAGCATCGCATCAATTTAATGATAGTAAGCCTGCAAGTCCCACGTTTTGGCCAAGAGTCAAATGTTGCTTTCACTAAACAATATATATATATATATATATATATATAGTATATAAATATTTTGATTGGAAATAGCACCAGAGCTGATTCTTATCCCTATTCTTAATGACTCATGATTTACATGTTGTTGTTTCTAATGTAAGATACGCTAAGATAAGATAAGGTAAGGTATACTTTATTGTCCCCAAAGGGAAATTTGTCTTGGACTCTGTCCTGCAGTTGCAAGAGAATTAAAAAGTTCATAAACAGAGATCATATAAAACGTAACTATTCCACATATACATAAAAAGCCCTTCCTACAGCAGTGACTACATTCGTTCAAAACAGCAAAAAAAGGAGCACACAAAAAGTAATTTTCAACATCAAATCAGTATTGGCCCTGATTACTCAATTTGTGCATCCTGACTCAGTACACACTTTATATCATGGTTGCTTTTTCATCCAACTGATTATAACAAATGGTCAAGGACCCCTGTTGGCATGAACCTTTTATGTATGTGTGTGTGTGTCTGTGTGAGTGTGTTGAACACCTGTCCTGTAGGCAGTCCAAGGAGCATGTCGTCCATTTTCATGAGCCGTCGGTTACCGTTGTGAAACACTCTTGACCTTCCTTTGGCTGTGTGTTTGGGCTTCTCCACTACAACCGGATCTGTCAGATGGCAGTCCACCACACTGTCCTACACACACAAGCACAAATTTTGCGTCACAGTAAGGAGCGCCGGATAGCCTAGCGGTTATGTTGCGCACCCCAGGTACAAATCGCAGGGATCAAACCCAACCGCAGCCCCAAAAAACAACTTTAACAGTAAGGTTTAAAACAAAACAAAAACGTCCAAAAGCGTCCAAATCCAATCACACGTAAATGTGCTCATTCAAACTTTTCTCTGTGTGTGTGTGTAGCTTACCATCCAGGTCCAGAAGACCTTTTCCACCTGTTTCCAGTTCAGGTATGATTCGAGGAGGTCACAGAGCAGCCGCATACACACACAGTCCTAAAACACACACACACTTAAAATGATCGATTTTGAGAAAACTCCAGAAAAATATTAGAAAGCTGCTATGTAGTGAGACACACAACCAACAGAGTAAATAACCAAAAACTGAGTTTAAATCAATATCTATGAATGAACTTTAAAGAAGATACAGGCAAAAAGAAACTAAGGCAACAGAAGGAAAAACAAGAAAATGTTGAGATACTGTATCTCAAGTATTTGTCTAGACTGCAGAGGGTGAAGCTAAACTATGTGAGGGATTTGATCTTTGTTTGAGGAAATGATGATTCTACCTGGTAATGATTTTATCTCACAGTTTCAGTTATCCAAGTTTTTTAACTTCTGTTCTTTCATTGGGATACTTTCTCCAAAAAGATGAATGGAGAGGGGACATTGACATAATAATATTATTTCATATATATTATATATATCATAATATTTGATTTCTCAAAATCTTGTTTCCTCTCTGTTACTCAAAAGGTCCAAAATAATCCTTTGACCTGCTTGATTCTAATCTTTCGGCCAATTCATAACTACAGGCATTTTGTTATGTTTTAGCACTTGGTTGCACATTCTGGCGTTGATTGTTTTACCCTCCATGAGGTTTAGTTTTCAGATGAGGTCTGTATCTGAAAGCAGAGCACTTTACTAGTAATCCTTTACTAAACAGCACACATACTTACCTCATTTAGTACTGCTGAGATTTGATCAGAGGACGATGGAGAGGAGGAGAGGCTGGAAAGAAAAACCTGCGAAAAATACAGATTTCTCAATTACGCTTGAATAAACTCAATCCTTTGATTATTACAGCTACTTATAGTGAGTATCTTATATAAAATGCTGTGATCAAAGCGTGTTCTACTTTACTTTTCATTCTGTTCATTTCTGTTCTTCTGTCACTTTGCTCAAACTTTACTTTGACCAAAGTTTTTCCACTGCACAAATAAAAAGAAACAGAATGGTAGTCAGGGAAAAGATCGAAAGGGAGTTTATCTCACAGCATGAAGCAAGCGTGTTCGCTCTTCTTGCATGGACAGCAGAATCCGGCCCTGATGTCTCAGCGAGCCAATGAGCCACTGAAGCTTTCTGAGAGATGCTGAGTCTATCTGGAGGTCTTTGGAAAACTCAGTGCACACCTTAGACACACATGGGGAGAGATTAGACGGATACATTAATATAAATACATACTTCTTTTACCATCATGGCAGGATACCGGTTGTACTTACATGTGTAGATGTGCATAGTGTTTTATCTAGTTTCTGTACCCTCTGGGTCACTAGTTTCTCCAGAGTTCCTGCAGCGAGCAGCCAACCCAGAGCCAGGAGGAGCTCTCTGCTGGAGCATCGCCCTCCCTCACCTCCGCCTCCTTCCTCCCTCTCAAACATCCAGTCAGCATGGTAACCAGTCTGCCAGAGACCAGCAGCCACCAGCTTCTTTTGCTCTGTGATTGTTAAAAGAGGAAGAAGAAAAAACATACATACAGTCACTCAGAAAGTACGCTAAACTATCTTAATCCCCCTGTCCGCTTATTGTGAAAGGAGCGACAGAGCATCTTTTGTCATATGTGAGGCTATAAAGGTACAACAGTAAAAGTTATTCTCAGTTACATGATTAATTTAGATACGATCAAAATCACATTATAAGAGCAACTTCCAGATCACATAAGCTGGAAAGTTTTGATTAAAAAAACAGTCAAAAAGATTGCCTTTTTTAATTCAACTTTCATAACCAAAAAGTACTACTGTGATGTATTTTACACCCTGGACATAACCCACAACTTGACTCACCTCCTCCCAGCTGTGTACAAGATTCACAGGAAACAATTCCAGCTGTCTGAAGGAAGTGAGCGAGAAGTTGCCAAAACTGATCCTCCTGGTGAATCACAGCAAGCAAAAATATATCTGTAGTACATGACATCACAGTACAGAACAAGAACAGGTGCTTCTTCCTTATTGTGCTAATCTAGTTCCGATGAATGTACTTCATTAAATGTCGACATTCAGGGCGCAGATGGCCTATCAGTAAGGCTGCACTCCATTTACAGAGGCTGTAGTCCTACAAGCGGGCAGCTCCGGTTCAAGTCCAGTCTGTGGCTCTTTTCCTGCATGTCATTCCCCACTCTCTCTCTGACTTCCTACTCTATCCACTGTCCCATCCAATAAAAAAGAAAAGAAAAAAAAGAATACTATACAATCATATTATGTTATAAAGCCTTGTTATGACAGGAAATCATCATGAAATAAAGTTATATGTTTTATATCAAGGTTATTGTACAAGTCACAAATAGAAAATGAGGTAATCGTATCTTTTAGTTTTATATTGAAGTTATAAGTAGGTTAAGCTGTCACATAAATTAAGCTTTCCCTAGTTGTGTAAAAAGGCTTTTATTTTCTTTGGAAAGCAGAATAGAAATATGGTAAATGCAATGACTCTGATTCCAAAAAAAAGTTTGGCCAAAGTTTTTTATTTAAATTTCAAAACTCTGCTTGCATACAGTGTGTCAGTATGTCACGGTTATTGATTATTTATTTATGTATGACCTGTTAACAAGTTGGCATTTTAGGTAAAGTGGTTATTTAACTCCTTCAAGTGTAATGTGCAGTTCAGCTTCTGCTCCAGACAGTGAAATAAACAAGATGATGAACGTACCACCTCGGGTCCTCCACCAAATTTCGCCCGCCTGAAGGTCTCCGGTGCGGGGACAGAGTGCAGGCCGGTGTCCGCTAACAGCCTACAGAGAGCTCCGATCACCTGCTTCACCTCCACACTAACAGCGGCTTTACTCCGCTGCATTACAACAAAAGCACACTAAACTTATACGAAAAAGATAAACAGTCACTAATCTATCATACTAAGTCCTAAAGGATACTCTAAAATGTTTAAGAAGACATATTCAATGACATTTTCTCCGCTCGGATGTTCTTGAGTTGTTGATATTTCGCGGCGAAGACAACAACTTCCGGGTACGAGGCCGTTGCCAAGGAAGCGGATAGAAGATTGATGGTCAAATTGGCCAATTACAAGTCTGATTCTGACAGAGGTGGGTTGGACTTAATGTGCGTAGTGAGGTTTCTGATAGGCTTCCATATACAACTAACTAAGTAGCCAAATGTAACTTCTTAAAATGAACCTCAGCTGATACTGCAAAAACAAAGTTGACAACTATATCTTGGATTAAATCACAAAAGACATGAAAAGTCCTGTTTTTATCACTCAGTCCAATTCATTTCTTTTCCTGTATATTAACAAGATCACGGTTATATTTCAAGGTAAAAAGTTCAACTGATAAACTTTTATTCATTTCAGATATCAAAATCATTTAACAAACAAACATAAATATATCACATTTTTATGAACAAATGTGCCTAAAATATTTAAAGGCATGAAAATAATTTTACAAAGACAATGTTAATTAATAAACATGCTACTCGCATAAACCTTGGTGTAACATTTTTACAAACAGGAAAATGCAGTAAATTACATCAATCAGAAACTGTCATAAAGTACAGTTGTCTTCTTTCTGCCCTCCAAAAAATGAACACTGGACATTCAAACATTTCACAATTTATATGAGATCAGAATATAACCATGTCTAGACAGAAATTAAGATCTTAGTATCATATCAAAAGGAAAATCTAAAAAAAAACACACACAGAGCTTTAGACATTTTGTGGCCATTACATATTTTACTTTTAACTGAGTTTGCTCCACAGATGGTCCCTTTATGCCCTATGAGAAGGTGAGTAGAGAAAGCTTGACCTCTTATTTGTAATGCTATCACTGCTTCCTACCCTGAGAACTCAAATGTTTAAACCCTAATTCAGCAAATTCCTGAACTTTTTAACAATGAGGCAAACAGCTTGTACAAATTAGACCGACACGTTTCGGCTTGTGGTCTTCATCAGGGTCATCATTTCACTCATCATGCACCTTGATAGTCGGTGAAGTTGTGTCAGAAAATCCCACTCTGCTACCAGTGTAGCTAAAGTCATGTAGCATTACCTTCTCCATCTCTCTATTAGGATGTTGTTGAGGGAGCACAGTGTTTTGTCTTTATAGCTTAATGGTAGCTAGAAGTATTTCCTGAACATTTGCTCGAATCAGATGTCTCTGCTCACTCTTGTGTGCTACATCGTGCTTTAGCTTTTGCTCAAATAACACAGAGGCGTATAAATCAACAACACAGTAAAAACACAATGTAAATCTAGATTTTGCACGTCTTGCCTTCTGATGGTTCAGTACCATACAAGCTCACAGGGGATTGGTGATAAAATCCTAATGCTGTTAAAAGCATTAAATAATGTACTTATAATGAAGTCACACTCAAAAAGGTCTCCTTAAATCCTCTTTCTGGTCCCAAAACCCAAAAGGCCCTGAAGTACCGTCAATTTGTTTGACTCTTTAAATTCACCACAAACCCTTTCTTTGTAATTTTTTGTGCTTGTCAAAGTCGTCAGAATCATTTTATAAAAAGAAAAGCTTCACAACAAACTGTACAATACTTTTAAAAAAGGGAAGAGTCTTGTGGATTAGGGTTGTAGTTTTACTGATCACTCTTCAACTTTCTCCTTCTTCTTCCTCTTCTTCTTTGATGACCGGGGTTCCTTGATACGACAAAAAATAAGATACTTTCAATCACATCTTCAAAGTAAAACATTATTGCTTTTGTGTGAAGACATGGTACCTTTCTGTCTTTTTATATGATAGTAACTCTGTTGTTTGCCTTTTCTTCAATAATAATCCTTTATCTTATCATACATCTGGTTTTATCAGGGTGTATGTCATACGTTTTTGAATTCATGTTTTAGCATATTTAACTAAGTTTAGAGTTTTATTTGTTCCTATAACAAACTTTGCAACTGTGTTTTGAAGAGTACTTTAAAATAGTTGTTTATTGTTATTCTATAATTGACCATGTAAAATTAAGCTCAGTGTTTTTCCTTTAGTTTCTCAGCCCCTTGAGGTATTTCCATAAATATGTACCAGTTGTTGTTTTTTTCTGAATTATTTTGTTGTTGTTTAATTTTTTCAGGATGATTCCTGAATCAGGATTGTCCTTCCAAAATTGATTGTAAAACACTCTTACCATCTAGTTTCCTCAGTTTTGGGAGTCTTTTAGAGGCTTCATCCATCCAGGTTCCTTCAGCTGAGTATTTCTCCTCCAGAGGATTTCCAACAAACACCAGGTCTGCGAGGCACGGCAAGTCAGCTAGCCTCACGAACTCTCCTTAAAAAACAAAGGTGAGGATACCAACAGCAAAAAAAAAAGATCCGCACATTAAGTTACAAAATCTGCACTCCATGAAAGACTTTTAAACTAAGAGTTCATATGCAGTATAAAGCAAGCTTAACATTTCTCCTGCATTTCAGTGTCACATTAAAGCAGCAACTTTATACACTAAATACAGTTCTTTAAAATTACCCCAGATTATTGCAATTGCCCCAATTTGCCAATATGTGTTTCCCTACACTGTGTGGCCTTTATTTATGATTGCAGCTTACCCCAGTCTTTGACCAGGTTGTTGGAAATGTAGAGGACTTTGAGTTTCTTCATGCTGTGGATTCCCTTCAGCTTCTCAATCACGTTATAGGAGATCCACAACTCTTCTAATGTTTCCCCTACAGCCTCCTGCATGAACACAACGAGATACAAAGACAATATAATATACATTCAATGTGTGTAATTAATATTCAATTATTGAAACACAAGGACTATAAAACTACAGACTGTTCATTCTGTTTACAACTTACCAGCCCAGTAAGAGCCTTGATATTGTTCCTTCCTAAAGACAAAATCTTCAAGTTCTCTGGAAGCACAAAACACATCACATGATGTAGTCAGCAGTCATATGAATGTGACAGGTGTGTATGTGTGTGGTAAAGTTATACTGTATGTATGTATGCAGACAGTACTCACTCAGGCCGTTGAGATTGGTTATTTTCTCGATGCAGTTTGTGGACAGAGACAGCTTTCTGTGGAGGATAGAGTTCATTAACATGAATTTAAAGGATGATTTCATAGACTGGTTTCATCAGAATCAGTGTTAAAGTTACAGGCTCTGTTCATGTTGTGAGAAATAAGATCACAGTTTGACAATAACCCAACCACTTATAGTAATAGTGTATCACTAGTTTGAGTTTACAAGAAGTGACAGAAATTAAATCATCAGATTTAAGTTATAATATGATTTGACTTTTAATTGGTTTATAACAATTTTCTTGATTTTGAACTGGTACGTTTCTCAAAGGCTATTATTTTAGAGCTGTATCCTCCTTATCTCTCATGAAGAAAGGAAGAATAATAGAAAGACCACATATTGGGTCCTAGATTTAAAAATATATATGGCTCAGCGTAAGTACCGAAAAATATTACATGCACACTCAGAAGCAAATTGAATTAGTACAAAAAGATGTGGACATCTTTAATATTTTCTAGAGCGATGAGACTTGGGGAATAAATGATTAAAATAAAGAGACTTGATGATCATTTCCTGTACATCCTACGTTGATAAAGTAGTTTACATTTCTATTACCTATTATTTAAAACTTCTTAAATTCAATGTATCAATAAGAATTTCAAATAAAATGAATGTGAAACAAAGTGAAAGTTGTTAACATCTTTACAGCTTTAGGTTAGGGATTTGAACTATTTAGAGTGAAATTGTTCGGTTTTTCAGCGAGACGAACATGAACAGCACATTTAACATGTTAACATATGTTTGTACAGCATATCGACCTTTTGAGATAACAACAGTTACAGTGCAGGTACAGGACTCACTCGCAGTTGGTGAGTGTGGAGAGAGAAGCATCCATCTTCTCTATCGGAGGAATCTGACCGTACAGTTTTATGGCTGTAGCCTCGCTCGCTTGTTCCCCTGACTTCTCGCCCTGTACACACACACACACACACACACACACACACACACACACACACACACACACACACACACACACACACACACACACACACACACACACACACACACACACACACAAAATAAAACATTCATTTAAAACACCAATGCCACAATTATGCAACTACAATCTATTATTTTACTATCAATTTTACATACTTATATAACATACATTTTATTTACAAGTAACCATTGCCTACTCGTGTAAGAATTACTTTCTATAATACGCAGCAAATGTCAGAAATCTAAAAAAAAGTGTCTACTTTCTGAGCACAAACCAAATGTAATCAGTTAGCTATCATAGAGAAGTAAAGAATAATTAATTAGAATATCCACATTTAAAAGAGAATTGTAACTTATCTTTATAACAGAATGACTAAAACTAAATAAGAAATAAATGCAGCACAAGTAAATATATGTATAAAGCAGAGTTAAATGGTATTCTTATATTCTTTTATTCTTATGATGGTTCTTATGATGGTTGGGTTATATATGTCTGGTTGGGTATTGTGCACTTTGGGTTCTTTTCTGTTGAATTGTTTTTAATTATTTTTGGTATTTTGCATCTGTTATATTCTTACTGTTGTTAATGTTTTTCTGTGTTTAGTTTGCTTTGTTCTTGCTGTTTGTCAAAGCACTTTGTAAACCTGTGTTTTTAAAAGGTGCTATATAAATAAAGTTATTATTATTATTATTATTATTCTTTCTGTATTTTATTACAGTATTTGTATTTTACTCACCCATTTGGCCAGAGCCTCTTTCACAGTCGTTGCTTTGGCCTGCAGACAGAACATTGAGTGAGACAGGAAACTGATGACAAACAGCAGACAGGGACAGAAAACAACAGAAAACACACTTTCTACTCAGCTGTCAATGTACTCTGGCTTTATTATCATTCTCATATTCAGGCTCTACATTCTTGGGAGACCTTTTCTTCCCAGTTCTCCATTTAGAAGCAGAAAAACATACAAAATAGACCGGTCTGTTTCCACACAGTACTGAGTATTATACAGTACAGGCTGTTTAACGCCAGCTTACACATTTGACAAGCTAACTAGCTAATTAAAGTTAGCCCCTATTAGCTTAAAGCAACAACAATTTTGCGCATAATGTCATCGACAACTCTCAGAACCGCAGTAACGGCATTCTCAAATAAGTGATAACACTCACGATGGTTTAAATGAGCTTATTTACGCACAAAAAGCTCGGATAAATGAACACCGACAACAGAAACACTCACCATGTTGATGGTCGATGTCTGCTCCGGTTGCTATGGCACTGAGAGGCAGCCTACAAGCTGCGCATGCGCAGTATGACTGCCTGGGCATGACCCAGTTTGGAAAACAATTGAAGTGCAGATGAGCAGACAAATGCAATTCTAGTGCAGCAAATGTCTTTTTTTTAAAACTTCCCTATATGTTAAACAGCAGGTGCACTGTTTTGATGGTATGAAGGGGGTTTATCATCTATTAGCTCTTTGCAGCATGATACTTCCTTTTCTCAATAAGATCCTTACAAAACTATTTTCATTTATTACATTACCATATTTAGTATCTTAGTATCTTATGTTAAAAAAAGTTTTTATTGCACATAAGAAGAAAAAAACATTAAAGAACAACAACAATAGGATCAGGAAGTAAACACATCACAAATTCAGAAAGAAATGTGCAGGAGAAAAACACATGAAACAAAGAAACAATTAAAGTATTATTTGAGCTAAAACAAAGCAGGTAAACAGAAAAACCATACTAATAAGGTTTTAAAACAAAGAAGGAAAATACAGATTTCAAAACTTACTATGCCACTCAAGACTCAAAACTATCAGATTATTACGAAAGAGCAGACTAACGTTCTTCTTTTTATGGTTGATTTATTTGTTTTCTACTTCTTCTTCATTTCTTATAAAAATCTATGGAAAACAGGGTGTAGGATAACTCTACACTTGAAATCATCCACCACATTTAAAGAATGGCTAGAGGTATTAAGTGTAATGGCAAGCTGAACAGGTTTTTTACTGTAGAGTTACTGGATGATCTTGGCACATGTTTTTGCACCTTACTTATCAGATGGATATTAAAGACAGATGCTATTCTGTATTTGGATCAGGTATGGCTATGTGATGTTTGTGCTGCATTGATTTCCAATGTTTGTTTTAAAGAAAATCAGAGCGATCAGAAAACTATGAAGAATTACTTTGTCTCGACTGTGTGATGAAAAATATTGATAAATAATGGCAATAATTAAGCATACATCGTTGTCATATTAGGATGTTCCTCATTATAAAGGGATCGTGGAATCATGATCAAGATTACTCCTCCCCCCCCCTCACACACACACACACACACACACACACACACACACACACACACACACAGCAAATTAGTATATAAAAGCACCCAATTGTTCTGGAAAAAAGGGAGTGAAAGAATCCAGGTCAAGTTTGCCCGGCAGCTCATTCCGATGTTGTGGGGTGTGGAAGGAAAAGGCAGATTAAGCAGCTCCGTCCGGATGTTTGTGACCATGAGGACAATTTCCTCTAGTGATCTAGTGTAATAACTACAGGAATAACATGTCAGTAAACGAAAAAAAAAAAAAGCAGACAAAATGTCCCAATATGCATCCTTGTAATGCCTTTCTCTGCCTTTATTAACGTCAATGTTGATTTATGTTCGTATAAACAAACTGTGGCTGTTAAAACGTTTTTTTGTGTTTTATCTTTCTTTTTTGTGGCAGACATTTTTAAAAGTCCGATAACTTCAAATAAAAGTTTTCGGTCTCTGAGCTCACCTTCTGTACTTACAAACCGAAGACAAAGTGCTTCATTTTCACATAAATACAGTGTGAAAATATTCTGCATGATTCTGTTGGTATATACATACAGTATGTCTTAATACAGCTAATCCACCTAATCTAGAGCATTGCAATACTGTCCTCTAGTGTCAACACTGAGGTATTGCATCAAAGTCTGTTTTCAGGCCTTGACTTTATTGTAACCTTGAATTTAACAGTGGAGGTTTCAATCGATTGTATTGTTCCTGTAACTCACAGAAATGTAAAAATCCTGTAATTTATTCTGTATCTCAAAAATAACTGAGGAAATAATCTACAGATTATTTTACAATTGTTACAAGAAATTCTCAGTGAATTTCCCAAATCTATTGAACATTTTAATAAATATGCACCAGGGCTTTTCTTGTTATACTTTTATGCACAGAGTTATGATATCATATAATAAATATATTCTTTGAATTATGCTGTGTTAGTCACCGCTGTCTTCTGCATCTATAACCACAAGTTTAGATCAACATCACACTTTGTGATATTTGTTAAAATACAACATTGAAACAACAATAAAAATTCCCCATGCTACTCGTGCTCGGCAACAAAATGTATTCTCAAAAATAACACGTTTTAGTCCCTCTGAACCGTTGTATGTGTCAATAGAACAAAGTTGACCAGATTCAGAGGGAATGAAACATTGTGATTTATATTTTTTTTAAATGAATGCCGAGCAAGATTAGTCTGCGGGATATTTTATTTTCAACGTGATAGTTTGATGTCATATGCACCTACTTCATGAGATAGTTAGATGTGAATACACTCCATTTAAAACATTGTAAAAAAAAAAATACACTAGAAGTATTATTGCTCACTGTAATATCTGTGCATGTATCAAATAAAAAATAACTTGACCCAAGAACTGAATCTAAACACTCACCTGTTCTATTTGCAATGAAAGGAAATCTACTTTGCACTTAAAATAGATGTTTTTTTAAACACTGGAGGGCCTTCAGGATGCCACTGTTACTGGAATATAATATAAAGGACCTACCAGTCTGCCCTTTGTCTGCAGAACATGTAATGGATGCCCTCCGGCCTGCCCTTGAAATGGAGAAAACACAGCGAATAGACCGCTACACTACCCTTCCAGTGCAGACAAGCTGCCCCACATGCTAGAAAACTTTCTCCTTGTTGATTCCAAAGCATGAAGCTGTTGCCTTTTTTACATTTTTAACCCTGCCCCTGGTTCCCACACAACTATCAAGGTGCTGCACAGAGACATTTAGATTATGGACTTATTTGGGTTAAAAGCCAGTTGTTATGTGACTTAATCGAGGGCAGGTTCTTAAGATCAGAGTTCAAAATAATTTAGGGGGAAAAAACAAACAAATGGATGCTGAAGCTCCAATGGCACGGAGACGATCTGGATATTGATATCTAGAAAGAAAAACAGGAATTCGATTGCAAGATGAACATAATTTTACTGGAAAAAACAGAAAGTCAAAATAAGATATTGGTTAGCAAATTGATCATCCCTGAATCTATGGGAATCATTTTAGCAGAATAGTTATATTATTGGTCTGTAAACACACACCATTAGCAAATTTGGAAAGAAAAAGTAAATATTTTAAATATTCGCATTTAATTGTAAAAATATCTCAAATAGCAAAAAATGTCCAGTCTGTTTTTAGCCCCCTCTTGTGACTTAAACTCAGTACTCATACAGTCACCACTGTCAGTGGAAGAAGTGAACTCACCTGGACAGGTCGTCTGTTTGGTGCGTGCAGGCGGTGTTCGGTGTCACAAACTGAAACAGACAGCTCAGAATACATCCACTGCAACTGTAGAGCTGAAACCTGTCTCAGAATAATGGTTTTGTACACAGCATCAGCATGTTTGGTGACGTATACATCCAAACAAAGCACAGGGACAGATCATATCTGATTGAATGGCCATCATTCTGAGTATTTGTCAGGGCCTTTTGGACAAATCAGAATCAGAAATACTTTAAAAAGGATGCTTTAATATTCAAACATTTAGATTCTCTAGGATTCATCTAATGTTTATTGTCAAAAATATATTTGACTTGTCAATTATTTTGTTTCATTCCCATCAGTGTTTGCTGCAATGAATGCAAAGTGTGTTACAGCTGCTAAATAATCCCCCCCCCAGTTCGATTTGAGCAGAGTTTTAATTAAATAACCAGGAAGTGGATTAAGAAGGAGTCACTGAGGAGCTCTTAAAGAAAGAACGTGACTTGAAACTGAAACCTCAGGTTTAGGTTTTCAGAACACACCAGTCATTTCCTGCTCTGACGATCTGGTCCCATTTATCCACAGTGACAGATCAGATACCATCAGTGGTGAATATTTTACAGGAGGCTTATTTGTAAGACTGACTTGTCAGGTCAGGTGAAGGAAACGAAACACAGAGAACAGAATCAAAATGACCTTGATGGTTCCCCTTTTTTTGAAAAAAAAAGATGCTTAATTAACTTTTATTTCAAAGATTAAGAGGAGACGATCAAATCTCATGACAGTGCAGAGCTGGAGTCAGGACATAATTAGCCTAGCTTAGCATGAAGACTGTGAGCAGAGGGAAACAGCTAGCCTGGCTCTGACCAGACTCTTAACTTCTACAGTTGGCACAAACCATAGACTGGTTTCACATAGACAAATGGACAGTATGTCTCAGCCTCTTCCCATTGAACAGGATGAAGCCAGAAAATCCCAGAGACGGGTGCTGACATATTGCAAATTTGCAACAAGAGTCCCCTAAAGAAAACACACATTAATGACCTCTACTGAACCGGGGTTTTATGACCTAAGGTTTAATAACCTTTCACTCTTTAACAGACGGCTTAGTGATGTGTGACCCAAAATGAAGTATTCCTTTATACTTTAAATGATAGATTTATCTGAAAAAAGAGAACACAAGTATGTGTTTGCAATGTAGAGGATAAGGTGGAGGTGGAAATGGGGGAGAGGGTATTGTCCCATTGACCTTCCTGTTGACTAATAACATGTTCTGAAGACGTCAAAGGGTCGGAGATAAACCTCTCTATTGACATTTACATTGTCAGGACTCAAGTGTCACCTTTGTGTGTTTTTATTCCGCTTGATTTATGACTCTGCATCAACCGTGAAAGAGTTTGGTTCCCTTCAGGAAACAAAGTGTAATGTTACAGGTCGAGTGACTGCTCAGGGTGTGTGTGGGTGTGGAGTGGAGTGGGCCGGGTCTTGCATGAACAGAGCGCATAAAAAGACGTTTGACAGTCAAGTGGTTCCATGCGCCCAAAAGATGGATGTGTTTGCCTGACTGAGGATGCAACAAGCTGCTGCTGAAGTTAAGAAAACCTGTCACACAGAGGTAAAGCCGGAATGGTCGGAATCAAACAGGAGCAGGAGGTTCGGACGGTGGGGATTGAATTTTGCTGAAAGGAAAAGTCGAGCTCTGGAGCTCAGCGTCCGTCAGATTGACAGACCGGTGATTGACATCAAAAAAAGATCGTCTGTTTATCT